GCCCATTTTTTAGAGCATTCCCTGACGAGTTTTTTGACGTTTAATACGTTTAAAAAAGTCGAAGGGTAGACCGGCCACGCGTTTCCAAAGTTTGCAAAATCGACTCGTAGATCCTCGGAGTTTGACGGCTGAAAAAAGGCTGTTTCCGTGGTCCGATTTTTTAGATTTTTTAGCCACGTGTAGCTTGAAGCCTAAAGAACGTAAAAAAGCTAAAAAATCCGCATTCGAAAATGTGGTCAAAATCGGACCCCCCGATGTATCCATCGTGGGCGTCGAAAATGGGCAAAAATCGAATGGGTTAAAAAAAATGGATTTTTTAAGCCCATTTTTTAGAGCATTCCCTGACGAGTTTTTTGACGTATAAGACGTTTAAAAAAGTCGAAGGGAAGACCGGCCACGCGTTTCCAAAGTCTGCAAAATCGACTCGTAGATCCTCGGAGTTTGACGGCTGAAAAAAGGCTGTTTCCGTGGTCCGATTTTTTAGATTTTTTAGCCACACGTAGCTTGAAGCCTAAAGAACGTAAAAAAGCTAAAAAATCCGCATTCGAAAATGTGGTCAAAATCGGACCCCCCGATGTATCCATCGTGGGCGTCGAAAATGGGCAAAAATCGAATGGGTTAAAAAAAATGGATTTTTTAAGCCCATTTTTTAGAGCATTCCCTGACGAGTTTTTTGACGTATAAGACGTTTAAAAAAGTCGAAGGGAAGACCGGCCACGCGTTTCCAAAGTCTGCAAAATCGACTCGTAGATCCTCGGAGTTTGACGGCTGAAAAAAGGCTGTTTCCGTGGTCCGATTTTTTAGATTTTTTAGCCACACGTAGCTTGAAGCCTAAAGAACGTAAAAAAGCTAAAAAATCCGCATTCGAAAATGTGGTCAAAATCGGACCCCCCGATGTATCCATCGTGGGCGTCGAAAATGGGCAAAAATCGAATGGGTTAAAAAAAATGGATTTTTTAAGCCCATTTTTTAGAGCATTCCCTGACGAGTTTTTTGACGTATAAGACGTTTAAAAAAGTCGAAGGGAAGACCGGCCACGCGTTTCCAAAGTCTGCAAAATCGACTCGTAGATCCTCGGAGTTTGACGGCTGAAAAAAGGCTGTTTCCGTGGTCCGATTTTTTAGATTTTTTAGCCACACGTAGCTTGAAGCCTAAAGAACGTAAAAAAGCTAAAAAATCCGCATTCGAAAATGTGGTCAAAATCGGACCCCCCGATGTATCCATCGTGGGCGTCGAAAATGGGCAAAAATCGAATGGGTTAAAAAAAATGGATTTTTTAAGCCCATTTTTTAGAGCATTCCCTGACGAGTTTTTTGACGTATAAGACGTTTAAAAAAGTCGAAGGGAAGACCGGCCACGCGTTTCCAAAGTCTGCAAAATCGACTCGTAGATCCTCGGAGTTTGACGGCTGAAAAAAGGCTGTTTCCGTGGTCCGATTTTTTAGATTTTTTAGCCACACGTAGCTTGAAGCCTAAAGAACGTAAAAAAGCTAAAAAATCCGCATTCGAAAATGTGGTCAAAATCGGACCCCCCGATGTATCCATCGTGGGCGTCGAAAATGGGCAAAAATCGAATGGGTTAAAAAAAATGGATTTTTTAAGCCCATTTTTTAGAGCATTCCCTGACGAGTTTTTTGACGTATAAGACGTTTAAAAAAGTCGAAGGGAAGACCGGCCACGCGTTTCCAAAGTCTGCAAAATCGACTCGTAGATCCTCGGAGTTTGACGGCTGAAAAAAGGCTGTTTCCGTGGTCCGATTTTTTAGATTTTTTAGCCACACGTAGCTTGAAGCCTAAAGAACGTAAAAAAGCTAAAAAATCCGCATTCGAAAATGTGGTCAAAATCGGACCCCCCGATGTATCCATCGTGGGCGTCGAAAATGGGCAAAAATCGAATGGGTTAAAAAAAATGGATTTTTTAAGCCCATTTTTTAGAGCATTCCCTGACGAGTTTTTTGACGTATAAGACGTTTAAAAAAGTCGAAGGGAAGACCGGCCACGCGTTTCCAAAGTCTGCAAAATCGACTCGTAGATCCTCGGAGTTTGACGGCTGAAAAAAGGCTGTTTCCGTGGTCCGATTTTTTAGATTTTTTAGCCACACGTAGCTTGAAGCCTAAAGAACGTAAAAAAGCTAAAAAATCCGCATTCGAAAATGTGGTCAAAATCGGACCCCCCGATGTATCCATCGTGGGCGTCGAAAATGGGCAAAAATCGAATGGGTTAAAAAAAATGGATTTTTTAAGCCCATTTTTTAGAGCATTCCCTGACGAGTTTTTTGACGTATAAGACGTTTAAAAAAGTCGAAGGGAAGACCGGCCACGCGTTTCCAAAGTCTGCAAAATCGACTCGTAGATCCTCGGAGTTTGACGGCTGAAAAAAGGCTGTTTCCGTGGTCCGATTTTTTAGATTTTTTAGCCACACGTAGCTTGAAGCCTAAAGAACGTAAAAAAGCTAAAAAATCCGCATTCGAAAATGTGGTCAAAATCGGACCCCCCGATGTATCCATCGTGGGCGTCGAAAATGGGCAAAAATCGAATGGGTTAAAAAAAATGGATTTTTTAAGCCCATTTTTTAGAGCATTCCCTGACGAGTTTTTTGACGTATAAGACGTTTAAAAAAGTCGAAGGGAAGACCGGCCACGCGTTTCCAAAGTCTGCAAAATCGACTCGTAGATCCTCGGAGTTTGACGGCTGAAAAAAGGCTGTTTCCGTGGTCCGATTTTTTAGATTTTTTAGCCACACGTAGCTTGAAGCCTAAAGAACGTAAAAAAGCTAAAAAATCCGCATTCGAAAATGTGGTCAAAATCGGACCCCCCGATGTATCCATCGTGGGCGTCGAAAATGGGCAAAAATCGAATGGGTTAAAAAAAATGGATTTTTTAAGCCCATTTTTTAGAGCATTCCCTGACGAGTTTTTTGACGTATAAGACGTTTAAAAAAGTCGAAGGGAAGACCGGCCACGCGTTTCCAAAGTCTGCAAAATCGACTCGTAGATCCTCGGAGTTTGACGGCTGAAAAAAGGCCGTTCCCGTGGTCCGATTTTTTAGATTTTTTTAGCCACACGTAGCTTGAAGCCTGAACAACGTAAAAAAGTTAAAAAAATCCGCGGACCAAAATTTGGTCAAAATCGGGCGAACCGAAGTGTCCATCGTGAACTTCGAAAATCGGCAAAAATCGGATGGAATATAAAAAACGAATTTTTTCATCCTTCTTTTTAGAGCAGTTTTGGACGAGTTGTTTGACGTACGAAACGTTTAAAAAAGCCAAGGGATAGACCGGCAGCCTACTTCCAAAGTCTGCCAAATCGATTGAGAAAATCATATAAAAGAATAAGATTAATCACGAAATAAAAATTAATTTTTGATTTTGTAAGGAATAAAAATAAATATAGTGCTCTAAATTGAATAAAATCGACAAGTCAGGTATTCGAAGCGCGAAATTGCCGTGAAGCGATAAACTACCCTGTATCTCGTCCGTAGTTAAATACACAAACGTCTGTCCGAAATATTCTGCAAGTCTACCATTAGTCGGTTCTAACGAAAGAGACGCTTTCCTTCTGTCATACCGACCACCCTGCGGACCGTGGGAAAGGTAAGTAAACCTGTATTGATCGTGCGGTGCGCATGCGTACGCGCTAATCGGATCATATGTTGGAAGGGCAACGCAAGTCGGACGGGACAGCAGTGCAAGCAACTGCGCTACGTTCGGTGTGCACGACTGGAGGCTTAAGTAGTCGCGGCCGTGAGGACCGTTCGTAGTCAGACACGTGTTTCCAAGTGATCGGCAGGCGTACCGCGTTGGACCACCGGGCCTAATCTCCTTCGTCGAACGTTGTATCCTTCGCTTATCAGTCGTTGGAATATTCCACGGACACTCCACCGATGCGATGAAAGTACCCTTCGTGTTGGTGAACGACTAAGCTGCTTCGAAATTTACGTTTTTCCTCCTCGAACGTTCGTGTGAACATCCGAAATTTCGTTCCGTTCCATTTCGCTTCGCCTATCAGACACCTCGTCTTTTCCACTTCCGTTTCCGATTTATGGCTCGGATAATTCTTTGCTGAAATTAAAAAAAAAAAAAAGAAAAGGTAAGTAATCGTTTATCGTAAGTATCTCGTAGATTATTATGGAAAATAAATTAGTTAGAATTTCGATTGTACTTGTTGAATGGTGAGACAGGGAGAAAATTGTGCGTTATGCAGATTATTATACGGAAGGTTGCGAACGTATGTTTTGTGGAAAGGTAAATTGAGCAATGGCCCATATGGTGCGGAACAACGCGGTATAGATAAAGCTGCATTGCGGCGATGACCCGCTCCAGTGTATTCCTTGACGTGCTTTTATGCATTTGTGAAATCCAATGATCGTTTGTCCTCGCTGTAATTCCATTTCGCGTGACGTTGAAGGTGAATCGACACGCAATTTGTTCATCCCTATCGATCATCGATACACAGTTTGCTGCGTGTAGCAATTTGATCCACGCGATCGTTTCGTCCCGGGAACGAAAAGTTTCGATGAACTTTCGGATACCTGAAAATCTTTTGCCTTTTCGATATAAAATATAAAATATTTATTATCTAATCTCGTTACTCGATGCAACGGTACCGTATGTACACCGTGGAATATTTGAGAGATATTGAAAGCAAGGAGGGATCGATTGGAACATTCGTCGAATTACATTGTTCGTACTCTAACAGCCTTGGCATGCTTGTTGCTCGATATTACGTCCGCTTCCACCTCCGCAATTCCTGCCAGCTTAATTTCAAATTCTTGCGGCATCGAACTTTCGATGGAGATGTTGACACGATCGATGATCTACTTTCGGATTCCGAATGGGCCTGTCCCCCTGTAGCATCGTGATTTTCAAACAAACTTCACTCGAGTGGTCTGTCAAAAGACGTGGTAGATGAAAAGAACAAGAAAGAACAACGTTTGCGAATCGCTTTTCTATAACATCTTCATTTTGCAATGCAAACGAATATAAAAAGTGATCTTGTAATACGCGAGATTTCGATTATTTAAGTACAATACTAACGTGCGAAATATTCTTAAAAGCTTGAAATCGAAAATAAGTCTTTAAATAAATTGCATTTATTATTTTTCCATACCTTCTACGTTTTTATTCTTTCTTTTCTACGTTTCGAATTGCTTCGCGTAATATTGGAATATCGAATATAGAATATAGAAATAAATTCTTATTGGAAAACATTGATTTTCCGGGTATAACGCGATACTTCTGAAATGAACGATTTTGAAATACGATAGTTGATAATATTCATGACTAAAAACTGCGAGATACTCGCGTGCTAAATTTTACGTGCAGACGCAGGAGGAAAAAGATGTGGAATAACCAAATAATATAATCAGCTTCCGCGTGCGGTTTCGATGAGAACGGATTATCTGGAAGGACATCCGCGATTGTTCCGTACTACGACCGGTATCGGTAAAATTCTCGTTCATTGCGTGTATGACCGCTTAATGAATACGCGATAAGATGAACGAGGCGGCAGATGGCTGCGGGGCTTGCAGGCGCAACACCATAGGCGTAAATATTAAAGGTTAGTTTATGTCACGCGTGAAACGCTGAAGAGCGAAGATAAAAGTTCACTTTGAGACAAAGTTGCCGTTCATAATCGTTGCGCGTAACTTTTAATGCCTCTCGTCTTCTTTCCCGTTTATGAATGATACCTCGTTTGCATACGTAGATGGCACACGAGGATACTAAAGATCGCGAATGAAAGTGTTTATGAAAGGCGATACGCGACTTCCATTTCGAGTTGCATTCCTTCGAATTTACTCTGTTACGTGAGATGCTACAAAGGCTTGAAAGCTGCTGTTAATTTCTTGAATAAATTTCATTTTCGTTGCTTTGTAGACAGCGATGTGGATTTAAAACGAGATGAATGTTTTATACGTTTCAAATTTAATTCCTTGATAGATTTTATTAAAACTAGAAATATAATGATTATGTGTGAAAGTATTCTTTAATAAGGTAGATTATTTAATAAGATATATTATTGCACCTGTATAGATCTTCCAGGGATAAAATCGAATTTAATGCCTTCTACGATTTCTCGAGTTATTGATAATTCTTATAATATATGTACGCATTATTTGACACGGGATATTCTATAAAAGATATTACGTATTCGACGTGGTTAGGTAATTTCTGCTGTTTGTATTTGCTTGTGTTCATCGGTGATTTATTGTAAACTTAAAATACATTCGTCGTAGTACACGTGTATTTAATATTGCTTGCTTGACGTGAAGTTTGCATTTAAAGACTCTGCCTCTTTTTTCCGGAAAAATGAATAGACATGTTTATCATATTTCAGTGATAAAACGATGTTTGCCACGCAAACTCGCTGTTTTCTCCCTTGTATATACGATGTTGCTAGGTACTTTTTTCAAATTAACAAATCAATCGTATAAATTATCGAGCTCCGTGTGTCGAGCCGTAATTTTGAATCGATTATGGCGCTAGATAACGATTGGAATAAGGAGAATGCTACTTAGAACAATGATTACAGTCGCTTAATTGCAACGTACACGTGTATCGACTAATTACACTCGAGGCGTTATGCGGTCTTAGGTCATTAACATAGAAAATATCGTGTAAATATCGTCGTAAGAAAGACTCGTTGTTACGCAATTGTACGAAGAAAAATAGCTGCAAAAAGCAACAGAGGATTGTTACCAAAAACCTTGACTTCAAATGTCAAAAAGAATTCGACAACCATTAATATCCCACCAATTTTCTTTTTTTAGCTTTAGAACCTAATAATATTGCTTCTCCAACGATTCCAAATTTGCACGCCATAATGTAACATCTACAACGCAAAATTGTGATACGAATTTTTTATTTTATTTAAATCGGTAACGAAAAATTTACATAATTTGCCATACGTTCGTTTAGTTAATTATTCTAGCAGAAAACTTGGCATTGAAATAAAATTTTGTATAATACCTTTACCAAAATTTAAAAAGAGATATTCATAATGCAAATTTAAATAATTCTTTAAAATTCAGATACATGTAGTTCATTTCGCGAAATGATAATTATGCAAAATCGTATATATAATTACCTAAGTAAATGGCTCATCATTGCGCATTCGCGTATTTTTTACGTCATCCGCCCAATCAATCGAATCATTCGTAAAAGTATTTTATTTCCGGCTTCAGTTGATCCCCGCGGCTCTATTTCTACGAGAAAACCCGTTTCGCGTTTCCTAGTTTTAACAGGCTTCTCCGCGCAGACATTTATCGCTTTTTGCGTACGATGCTCTGATATTAAACCTCCACGTGTAGTCATACGTACGTGTCCTCGCTGACCTACATGCATTCCCAATGCGCATTTTATTACACGTCTAAAACTATTTTCTATTCTGCTGTCGCGTGGTGCATGGTTAGACGATAATAGACGATACACTCGTACGAATTCGTTACCCAATCACGCATTAATTAACAGGGCGGTTTTATTATCCGTTACGAATCGAGGTATCTTTCATATGTACGCGCGTATTCCGAGAAATTCACTGTCACACGGTTCGATGAGTATAATGGCTTCTTTTAGTGACCAGCGGTCGACGGGCAGGAAAATTGGTATCGATTGAAATTTGTTACAACGTTCGTATATTTAACCTATTGGTTCAAGGGTTCAAGGATTTCCACCTTGTTAGGGCCACATTCGATGTAGGAATTATATCGGTTAATGACTTCTCGGGGATCTGAATATATTAATTTCCATATTACTTATATATTCGTACGAATACGATTATGAAATTACCTTAGAGTCGCAGAAACGTTTTGTAAATGAAGAACAAGCAACCGTGTCCACAGAGGTTAATCTTTTCACTCCCGAGTTACGAAGAGAGTAGCAAACGCCCTGTCCTGAATTAATTTAACAAATTTTATTTTTGTTTAAATCTGATAAAAGCTCGATCAAAGTATAATATCATGCATTATAAGCTTGCCTGGAGTGATAAAGGTGAATAGAGAAGTCACTAAATATTTTATCTGCAAACCCTGGCAGCAGACGAAAAATCTCGAGCCAAGGGAGCGCGCGCTACTTGCACTCAGACGTGAAATACATAGTCAGAGTTTTGATAGAGGACAAAATAATGAGGGGAATGTATCGAAAAAAATGTCTCTCTTATCCGAAGAGATGACAGGACACGTCAGAAGAGTTGGATTGAGCTCAGAAAGAATTTTCTAAGCTCTAACAGCTTTGAAATCCATGAAGGTTGTATCACGTCCGCAGTCCGGCAGTCATGTCAGCATGATGCAAACAATGTCTGCCGGAGTAAAAGGGTTAACTTGCAGAAAGAAAGTTGCAGAAAGACGTAACGAATTCATTGTATAGGCATGAGAGTCAGAGCAGACGACTGGACAAAGGATGTTCGAAATGAAAGGAATACTTGCACTGGTAGACGCTTTGGTAGACTGTTTCGTAGACGACGAGGAAGCGGGATTTTCATGGGATCTAATATTAAATACTCACGGGTCTATTGTACGTGTCTGACGCAGAAGATGGTGGACGTAACGACGGCTCTGCCATCCGGCGGAGTGTCCCTAATTGGACGCACCAGAGGTGCACTCAGGTCCGTCAAGTCTGCGTTAGGAGGCAGCGGAGAGTATCTTCAGGGTTTGGGTAGCAGGATAGGTTCCGTTCTAAGTAGCAGTTTAGAAGAAAGTGAATTGACCACGACACCGTCGACGCCGCCCTCTTCGCCACAAGCACCACCTCAGACTGCCAAGCCGGAAGAACAGTTGGCTAGGAGGAAATTAAGGCTCCCTAGGTAAGCTCCTGTCTCGCGAATCTCTTGCTATGTGGCCTAGAAGCAGGCAAAATAAACCTGCATTAGACACGAGTAATCGAATATCGGCTAACCTTGCTTCCGTTCGATTGGTATCACCGTACACGTGATATCGAGCGAATTAAAAATTATCGGCCATTTACGGTGAAATATTTGAGAAGTACAAAATAAATTGATATTGGGTTATGTTCTATTTTACTTTATATATTAATTTCACAAGTGGTACTGAAGCAAACTGTCTGAGAAATGTCAACGATTAAAGAATAATTGAAAATACTGACTAAATTTGTATTTTCTAGGATAATTATTATAGAAATATTTTATTATTCGATAATAGTTCATTTTGCGTAGAGCTAAGAAAATTTGAGTACCTTTATATTTGTTGGAATAAGAATTCCATATTTCTCTGAAGGCTTACCTTTTTTCCTCGAAGCAATTTGTGCGATAGCTGGGACAGAATTCATTATTTATTCAGAATTTATGGATAGAAAATCGATAAGAGTTACTGCAGAGTGCAATGTAAATGCGTGGGTTCCTATTTATATTTTTCCCTTTTATATAACAGGAACAAATGACAAATAAGATGGGTATTACGAGTTGACCGTTTCATTCCCAACGTTTTACGTATGCTAAAAAACCCAAACTCTGCGGTACAGGAAGACATTACCCAATATGTTCTAAATAAAATTCTTGCGCTGGATTTTCAGTATTTCGCGATTACTTGCGTTTTATATATTCTAACGGAATAACCCTGACCTCAGTCTCATGGAAACTTTCCTCGATGCTCTACGTGTGGATCTACTCCCGAATCGAATCCTTGATATTTTGTACTTAAATTAATATTTAACCTGATGCACGTTCAAAATCGATGGAATTTTCAGTTTGTGCGGACTTTAAAACGTGAGTTTCGATAAACGTGTACAGATTCGGGACAGGATTATCGTACGAGGACTACGAAGCGATCGCGAGGCATAAACTGGAGCGTCAGGGTACCGCGAACACGTCGAGAAACATGAGAAAATATCCGCCGGGTATGACCTACGAGGAAATAGCCTCGTCGAGATCAGCGGGGATGAAAAGGCAAGAGAGCAAAGTCGAGGAAGATAATAGCCCTGACAAAGACAGCCAGGAAAGCATAGAACCCCTTCAAGAAAGGGACATCAAGGCCACAGGACCTGATCCTTTTGACAAACTGAACTACAGTGCAGGTGAGCAACAACGAAAACGATTTTCTTTGAGAATATTTCGAGAAACCGAACGCCAGGATGGTCCTTATCTCTCGATTCTCCATTTCTCCAATTATACTTGTCATAATTTGCAAAACTCGGACTGACGAAATGTAAAAATGAAATATTCGACTTTTACAGCAAAGGACCATTCTTCCATTCGCGAATGTTGATCGAATATCGATGTAACATCCGGATCGATATCGAAATCCTTTTTCCTACAAGAATGCGCTCTTAGAATCTTTTCCATGGTCGAAACGAAATATCTTTTTCCGTGAATCTCGTTGGCTGTTTATTTTCGGTGTCTCTTGGCATGAAAATATCGTAAGTTTATTTTTTAAGAGAATGATTTTGACATAATGTATTTTTGTTTCTCTTTGTCACGAAGCAAGGGCCCCGACCCGCTATCAGACGGTCGTTTTTCGTTTAGGTAAATGAACGTTGATGTGAATGTATGTGAGCAACCACAGGTGTCCTTCGTTTCTCACGAATCCCTCGTTTCTTTCTGTTGTTCGTGTCCTATCGACAGCGGAGATTTCTTTAAAGATGGATACTATCGATTCCTTTGTATCGTTTAAATTGCAATTTAAATGGCTGCGAAATAAATAATTAAACTTCTCTGTCGATACTGAAGCACCGATGCAAGTATAATAGATTCCTGGTTCGTGAACTTGGTGTTCCTTGATGGACAACACCTCTTTGTACGCTTTCCTGTGAATTTACCTGCGCATAAATATTTGGTGTCACATAATTTGGAAACTTAGGTAGAACCTTTTAAAAAGTTATCAGCTTTCTAGTTCGCTAGCTGTAAACGCAAGAAAAGTGTCGCGATAAGGCAATTACTATCGGTCGGATATTCTTGAATTTATGAATGAGGATTATAGCGAAAATTGACAACGAAAATTCAAGTAAGAACTCACGCGATAGTGGTTGTATCTTTTTGGCATATAATTTTCGTAAGTTGTATTATTTGAACGAAATAACTACAAACAAATTGGAATAAAAATTTTTTAAATTGGGAAATGCGATAGATGGAATAAAATTAAGAAAGGGAACACAGAATTTCATCGCTAACTCTGAAAGTACACTCCGTGACACGTACTTAAATATGTCCTGAATTACCGTATAGTCATTCCAAAGTTAATTCCTCTGTCGTTCATTGACGATAACGGTAGTATGATGTACGATTTAATAGTTGAATAGCACCCCTGTATCATTCCTATGTTTGTACGTATCCTGTCTCCAGCATTAGATTAGTCATATTCCGAAGTTGTCAACGGAATACAGTAACGCGACACACGCACCAGTCTCGAGTATTAATTAGCGGAGTAGATACGCTTTCATCAAATCAGGCGAGTGTTTCCTGTAGAATATTATTTCAGACATGCCTTGTAGCAGCGACTCTATGAGCGATCAGGATGGCTACGGACCCAGCACGAGTTTGGATTCGAACATGGACGGTCGTAGATTATGGCAGAGATCAGGTAAAATTAATTGCAATTTTAACTGCATGCACAACAATTCAGCAATGTACCAATTCCTGTCCTCGCTGATTCAGGTTCGTCAGGGTCCGTTCAATCTTGGGCTTCCAGCTTGTCAGCTGACAGCCAATCCGAGGAGGCCGCTGCAGATTTCATGAAATCCTTCGTACCTCTTCTGTTCGACGCCCCGAATACCATTGATCAAGAGCAGAAAGCAAGTTTTGGTCAAATGGTCCTTGTACGTGTTAAAATCTGTCACGTGTTTGATTCTTTAGACTCGCGTAAATTTTAAAATTTGCAAAAAAAAATCGAGCGATCAATGCAAGAGATTAGTATTCTGAAATCTCTGTTTACGATTTTTACAAACAGAATTATTCCGATATTCTCGCGTCTGATATTTTTATAGCTCGATATCGCTTATCAAATCCACTGGAAAATAGATAATACGTGTATCTGATTTCACGCAGACAGAATCCGGCAGAATATGGTTCTCCAGGGTGGTGAACGCGAGAAGAGCACGTCCCTGGGTGACGGAAGCTTCTTTTTACTCTTTGGCACAACACTTTGCAGTAGCCCTCTTCGAATGCCACGAGGCAGATGACTTTGCACCTGCCAAGAGTCTCATGAACATGTGCTTCACGTTCTACCACGAAGGTATGGAAATCTATCCCCTATTCAATTTCCCGCTGTATAAAATTCACGTGCTACACCTAGAGATATAATTAGAAAAACTAATGACAATTTTGAAAAATAAAAATTCAGACGTTTCATTTCCTTGAACGTTTGTATAACGCTTTTATTGTTTATTCGAGCAGTGGAAGTGCCGGGATTGGAACCATATCGCGAGTACTTGTACATACATTTACGCGTGCAACCAATATGGACGTCGATGAGATTTTGGACCGCGGCCTTCTTCGATGCCGTTCAATGCGAAAGAGCTTCGAGACCAGTCCCTCCGAGGCCCAAGTCGTTGGACCAAGAAGCCATCGCGATCGAGGATCGAAAATTTCAAGCTAACATCGTCTTCGGACAATTAGGGTAGGTAAATTATGCAACTGCTGTTTTAAAGAATAATTTGGTAACTTGCGAACGCCATTTTGGATTTTCAGAACGTTCACGTGCAACATGCACGCCTTCGGCCTGTCACGGACTCTGTGTCTAGAGTTTCTTAGGAAGCAATGCGTCATTGCGAATCTCACGAAAGGTAACTCCATCTGTCTATAAATAATTAGTTCAATGATATTAGTCGTCATTATTTTAATTACGCCGCTATTCGTGAACCATATCGGATGTAATAAATAGGATAAGAAATTTTGGTCGCTGTATTTCTATATTCATCGTGGAAATTGAATTTCTTCGATAATAAATATCATCATTTCGTTAATAAAAATTGTGGAATTTTGCAGAGCAAGAAAAGATGCTACGAGACAATATAGAGAGAATGTTCGACGAGACCGAGCCCTGGCGGTAGTTTTGCTTCTAAATACAGCGATTCGTGGAAACACTTCGTCAAAGAGGTATCGAAATACCGAATTACGATTCGCAAGGAGAAATCGTTGCGAGGTTGTCAATTAAAATACGATGTTTAGTGAAATACGAAGGAAAAAGTCAATTTTATCGATCAACACCGTGGTTGTGATTCCATCAGACGCAGCTAATCTAAATCGACAATTCCGAATCTAAGATGCAAACTGTTCCTACCTAGATCGAATTGTATAAATCGAATTCTACGAAGAAATCTCTAGCAAATTGAAAGAGAGTGATTCCATGATTGTAATAGATCGGTTGCGAAATAATTTATCATATCCTAGCTGTTATGGTTCTGGAAACCAGTTCTTTGTTTCGTTTGTAACACCGTGATCGAAATTACGAATCTCTCTTTGAGCTTTGTAGAATTTCACGAGACTTGTAAATTCGAATGACCAATTTCTGCCATTTTCTTGGTCGAGACGAAAAGAGTCGTTGAATTTTCTTAGTTTATCTGCGAGAACTCGCAGTTCAAAATCGAATTTAAATCGTAAGCGGACAATAAATCGCGTGACATTGCTGATCGATTTGCAGCGATAATGCACGATGTACATACTTCTGTACCAGAGAGTAACAAGTTTTCCGATCTTCAGAATCGATCGGCGAAGCTTGTGACATTGGAAAGTGAATTTTTGAACGCAGTCCTTTTCGTTTCGAGCTACGCGATAACTAAAGGCTAATGAAATCGAGATTCCTTGCTTTTCATACGAATATTTCGCTCGTTTTATGAATTACAACAGCGCTTCGATGAGTTACGAAATGCCAGATCATAGCTTGCACGATATCCATAGACGACACTTCTCTAACTAGTATTCGTCGAAACATGACGTTTCGATAAAGGATCGTAGAAAATTTCCGAATTAAATATCACTAATTCCTCTTAGAGTAATAATACTGCAAGTGACAATGAAACAGGCTAAAATATTCGTGTATCTTCCTCGTTTGAGCTAACTAAACGCAAGTCGAAGCTACTTCGCGAACGCTGTCGTGCAGTTTCCTTGCAATTAATAGATCCTTGTAGTTAGGACAAGCTATTCGAACTTTGTTTCGTGAAACCTTGTGTAAATATGTTTGTATTTAAATGACGTATCGTTAAATACAAGCATCGCTCGATGATTGTTTTCTACATCTGTCTGCATTTCTAGCGAAATTGTCAATGTCGAGAAAACAGTAATAAATCTCTTCAACACTGAAATATACTTTTACTGACGAAACGAAGGCATCGATGATGGATTATGATACTGTTCCCCGAAGATTTGTAGAGAGGAATACGATCCACGTTTAGATTTTATGCGATTCCGATACCGATTATCAGGGATGTAAATAAACGCTGTCATGCGTGAAAAGAGATCCATGGTAACAGATTCAGGCCACGCCATGTGACGCAGACGAACTGCGTCAGAACATACAAGGCTCGATCGTGTTAGCTCGAGTGCACATAACTCGATAAATATTATACTTGGCACAGAGGACTTCGTACGAAATATTCCGATTACGTAAAGCAAGAGACAAATCGTCAGGGACGTGCAAGAGACCCCCAAACAGCTGAGATCACAGAACACAATATAAAGTGAAAATTAATTAAAGTCAAGTGCAACGTATAGCGCGCGATATAAATAAATTGCAAACGGTGTAAGCGTACAGATTCTATTATAAAAATACTACATACGCCTGTCGACCGGACAGTCCAGTCGATAAAACAGGATTCAGATCGTTCGAAAATAGCGTAAACCGATATAAATCACTGCGAATATATACAGCAACGCAATCAGCATCGTCTATGAATCAGCCGATAATCACCCATCACCGAGAAATTAGATGACCCGACACGAGTAACGTGAAAACTGCGGTAGACGATGTATTATACATTCACACAGAGCTATATCAATCGTCCAGGACCATTACAAACGAGGGAATTACGAAATAGTGGCATGCTGCCAAAGAAACCAGCTGAGACCTTTGACATCGTCAAGGTTCCCGAGGACGTGAAACGACAAAATGGATCTAGAAATCGTAACACTTCTCTTACATCTCTAAATAAATTCGAGTTCCTCGAGATTTCGAAATTTTAATTTTCTAAATCAGTAGACAGCCTCGTTAATTAATCTTCTCGATTACTCTGCCTTGACATACTCTTCGAAACTACAGAAGAATCATTTTATTAAGCGATGAACTTACAAAAATTAAGTATTGTCTCCATGATACGCTGTCGGTGCTTACGCTCGATGTGTATAACGACCACTAACACAATCGTACAATTATTGCAATTTAAAAGGAACAACTGTACATTTACAAATATTTATAAACGTTATTCATCGTCTTCCCCAAGTCATATCGAATGGTCTCAGCATTGTTAGGAGCAACGGTCTTCCCGTGCAAGGTTTTCGTTCCCAACGAACGTAACAAGGCCATCTTATCGACTTCCTTCCGTGGAACAGGCTTCCTCGCTTCCATGCTATCGGGCATTCTTGGCGTTGGATATTTGCTGTAAATCCCGTATCTCTCAAAGAGGTCCACCTTCTCCTCCGGTACCGTAACGTTGCATCGATTTTTATTCAATTCCGTCGACTTTTTCAACTGCGTATTAAACGTTCTTGGATACTTAGGCGTGACAGATCCACGCGACAGTTCGCTTCTGTTCACGGAATCTATCGATTTCGCGGTAAGGGGTTCAGATTTCTCGGACAATCGATCGAGAGTCGCCTTGGCATGCCCGCTCTTCAGAGCCCTCGGATGGTCCGCCATCTTGCGAGTGATATCCTGCGCGCTGGTGTCGCCACCGCATGACTTTGGCTTCTCGATGCAGCTGAAGTCGTAATCGAATATGCTTCTCGGACTACGAATGTTCTTCAAGCTGGCCTCGATCAAGTCAGCCAGGTCGAAGCTGTCGTCCTTCACGGGAGAACGATCGTTCAGAATATCTGTGCTCGTGCTCAGGATTGTTGACTTGCTGTGACCGATTTTCTTCGTTTTGCCTTTCGATTTAGCTTTACCTTGGTCCCCTTGAATCGAACGAGGCGCTGGTTTCTCGGTCCTGCTGACCTTCGTCGGAACTAAACTTTTCGTTTTAACGTTCGCCATCTTATCGTCCACCATCTTGATGCTCACGTTGCTAGACTTCGCGTCGATCCTTTTAGCTTTACTCTGAATTTTGTTCACCTTTGTTTCCGCAACTTTGGTACCGATCGAATCCTTGCTGTCCACTTCGCGCTTTGGCTCAATTTTTCGTACGATCGACTGTTCTTTCAGCGATTTTATATTCTTCTGCCCGGTTACCTGTAGCGATTTTAGGACGGGTGTCTTCTTGTCTGACGTTACCTTCTCTCCGTCGATCGTGGACTCGTTCAGACGATTATCGGACAATTTCCTCGAGACTGAACTCTGAGGGTTTCTCCTGCGAGGGATTTCCGTTGCTTTCTTCGTCGCTGGGTTCTCGAGTGGAATGACTTTCGAGGATATTTTAGTATTCGAAATGGAGAGTTTCATAGGGTTCTCCATTCTTGTATTTGCCCTAGCCGAAGATTCGATCTTTGGATTCGCTGATTTCTGTCTTACGTTCGTTCGGGCTCGAAGCATCTGAAAGTATCGATGATGATATTAGCGTTAGAGCAGAAATGCACACTTGTAACTTGAAACCGGTAATGAGGAAGAAATTACTTTTTGCTCGTTCATTAATCCCTGTATCTGAGCTAGTTGAAATAATTGTTTCCAGTTGCATGCGATAGTGTGGAACTTTTCGTGCTTGTATCTTATTACTGGCGTGTATTTCTTGTACAACGTTTCCCACACAGAATTGTCATCGAATACCTAAACATTGAGGAAACGAAGGAGGAAGAAAGTAACAGTGAGAATTAATTTAAACGACTTTTGTTACCTCCTTACAGATGCGAGAAAGGGACGTCAATTTGGTAATATCTTGTACCGTGAGGTATTTTATTAATTTACTGATCAAACACTTCGGTAACGTCACTAATGTATTTTTCCCGGAAGTGATGTTTTCCACGTGCTTTAACAAATATTCACCTACGGACAGACAGTTGTAATAATCTGTAAGATTAAAAAATTACGGAAAGTTACAAACAATATCGAGTAATATTTTATTTTGTATAATATCTTTTTAAAGCAAAATGGTCCAATTATAGCTTCGTATAAATATTTCTCGACGATAGGGAGAAGTATTGCAACTTTTCAAATGAAAGTATTTTGCGTATTTGAATACCCGAATAGGAGTATAACTAAATAACAGGAAATAACGTTAAAGCGAATACATCGAAGAGCATTAATATCAAAATATTTAAAAAATCGAGGGAAAAAATCAACAAATTATCGTACAAAATGTGCAATAGAAGATTACTGAACATAACAAAAATATATCAAAGAACGAATCTTAATATTAAGTAAACGATATCCTGATTTGAACGTAACCCTCGAGAGGTTACCGAATAGAATTCGCTGGAATGGCTACCAAAAATACGTTGAATTTCGTCCTGCAGCCGCAGATCTTGCTTGAAATCGGCGAAACCGGAGGTTCGTACGATGGGCGTTTTGTGAGGACCATGCGAGATGCGCCAGAGATAGAGTGTCACCTGCAAAACGAGCGAAGTTACGAGGCAGAGTCGCGAGAACGCGACCTATTCGTCAGCACCTGGTCGTTGGACACTCTTAACCCGTAGTAATCTCTGCTGGGCGAAGGTGCTATCGAATACTTTTCCAGGTATTCAAGCTTACCGCTCATACTCGACGTGTCCAAATCCGAAAATCCTCCGCGTTCGGCCTGAAGCTGCGTCGCAATTGAAATTGGCTCATGCGTGACGTTGCAGTTAGAAATAACAATAAAATGAAGATAATCAACGAATCCTCTTATATGTAACTATTTCTTCTTCTTTTTTCTTTTTTCTTTTGTAAATTAAAAGCAGGTTACGCATATTTTTCGTAGATTCTTCTTGAATATTCCCTTGATGAAACGATGAGCGATATGATATAAATTTCTCGTTGGAAAGATGTACAACGATTCGTAGAAAATGTGGAGACTTCATTTTTCGCGTTATTCGTAGTCCTTTCTTCTTTAAATTTACATTCGGCGTCGTATTCATTACAAGGTTGTTGGATAGCAGAAAATAATATATTGTGTATAATTACGTTCGGTTGTTTGCGTTATACTGGTTAGTTAATTAATTCTGTTTCAATAATTCTTGAGCTTTAACGCGTTCCAAGTTATCTTTCAGTTTGCATTTATGAGGCAATGTTATTGCAATTATTCGTTACATTACTTTATACATATGTATAGTACTTCCTGTGGTTAATAATTTTCGAAACTACATGCTTCCGATGAGTGCAGAAACGAAAAGCTTGAAGCGGGTACTCCTTGACTCGGTGGTTCTGATATCAAGTAGAAATAGTATTCCTGTAATTCGTCAAGGGATAATTCTGTTTGGTAAAATAATGGACCACGAGTGAAGAATGTGACAGTGAGGATAGTACGAAGTAGCCCCGAGGCGTTTTGGTTTCATTGATATTTTATTACAATAATTCCATATGAAGAGATGAAGATAAATATAGAAATGTCGAAGTAAAAATGGAAAGTTGCGTGACATTACATACTATTTTGTAATATTATGTTATAACAATATACAATAGGTAGGCTATACGGTAATATCACAATGCATGATTCACAACTTCGTAAAAGTCTAGAGAAGAGAATATAAATTTAAAGATACCAGGGACACCATCTCTGCCCCGTTCGATTTTCTTGAAGACGAAACGTTACATTATTATTATTATTATATCGATTAGAAAACGTGCGATGAAAAAAAGGTGTTCGCTTCTTTCCCACCTGCTCCACCCTGCCTCCACCTCCTCTGTCGTACCGCATTTCACGAATCGAGCGAGAGAATTGGAAATACATGTGTATATATATATAATATATACGTTACGTGTATGCGTGTTCGAATAATGCCAATCCGTATTCAATTGTCGTTATTCGTTTTCAATAATATAATAGAATATCGACGTTACTAAAAGCTAATAGTGGTGTACTCACTTTATAGTAAATAGTACTTCCTCTTAGTTTGTAATAATAATTAGAATAATCATAATAGTAATAATAATAATAGTAATTCACGATAACAATAATAATGATCAATTATCATGGACAACAGACGCGTATGTTTTCTTTCTTTTCTTTCTTTTTTTTTTCTTCTTTTCTCCGCTACTTTTCTTTCTTCTTCTTTCTTTCCTTCGTTTGTTGTGTACGTTTGATTGCATGATTGATATGACGTTCCCTAGCTCTTCTGACGATTGCTATGTGTCTCTCGAATGACGTTTAAAAAATCGCATGAAAATAAATTACTATACGCTACTGTAGTCGAGAAGTCTTATGAGCGACGGAATAAACTTAAAGGCTCGTATTCATAACACTGTATTATCACTAAACGATACGCCTTTGTTTCACGAGCGAAACAACGTTGAAAATTAATCGTGAATGTTGTACTCTTCGAATATGCTCCTTCAATTATCGCGCAACGATAGGATAATTTCGTTTTGGACGTAAATTGCAAGTTTTATTCGATGAGGGTCGTTTTATGATTATCGACGTTAGATCTCTAATTTTGATTAGGAGTTAATTATCGATTCAACGATTGCTTATAATATATAGATCTTTTTTTTTCCTTTTTCATTTTTTAGAATTTCAAACTTTTTCCGACAGATTTTTATAAATATAAATTATTACGTTAAACATCGACGATGAAATAGTTGAAGAAATAGTTGAAAGAATTTTCATATAATTATTATCCTTATAGATTTTTTCCTCTTTTTTTTTCCTTTTCTTTTTTTTTTTCAAGTGGAAAGTAAAGGAGTATAGTTTGTTCTACTAGAGCGTTCTGAATACAGGCCGAACAGTATAAAAAATTGAGTTTCGTGCCACATCAAGAGCATTTTGCCACATAAACTGGTCGTTGTTGTAAATTCCTTTCCAACAAGTATGGCTCATTACGAGAAGCTGAGTGAAAATAGAACGTTCCACCTAAAATTTCTCGTTTCTCCGAATTAACATCTCCTAGATCTAACTCAATCTCTATATTTATCAATCTATATCGGCATTTCTCGCTCTGGGACGCGTACAAAAATTTCAAGAGTATACTTTACTGAACCCTCTGAATCTTAACACGAATACGAAAAGAATATAGTATCCAAAATAATCAAAGGATCATCTATTCGAATAACCTTAACTCTCGCTAACGCAATAAATATTTTTTCAAATTCTATACGTCGTATAAAATTACAATTTTCTTCTCCCACTCTCTAATGTTCAAGTTTACTAACTCGATCCTTTAATTATTTCAAATCAATCGCATCCCTGCTTTTCTCCCCTAAAATCGCATCTTAACTTTTTCGGTAGTAAAGGTACACGTTTTATAAAAATAAAAGATTACACTTTCGAGAACTAAAGATATCTTCTAATTTCTATAAATATCAGGGACAGGAATCAAACTTTCTTCGCGTCCCAAAGTTCAGGAATCACCAATTCGAATGAGCTAAAACTGGTTCCATGCACGACAGATGTAAATACCTCCTTCTTATCGTGCATGGTATCCGACGAACGTTTTGTACTCAGCACACCCACGACGAGATACATACTTACATCTCGTTCTTCGTCTATCATTGTACCATCGTTATGAGTATATATTCGCGTGATTCGTTTCGAAGGTAAAAAGTTCTCATCGGGTACGAACAACATAAGCGTAAACGACGACGACGTGCGTACCTCTGATTGCAACGTATAATATGCTCATATACGTGTATACATAAATGTGTGTGTATACATATAGATATATGTATATATAATATTATCTGGAAGAACAGATTTGCGTATTGCAACAGCGCGAAGAACACCGTCACGCCTTACCGAGGTAAACGATATACCCTTTTCGTCTTCGGATATGTGACTCTATCGTCTACTTTTGGTCAATACGTCTGTGATTGGCTACAGTTTTTAACGTTACCGAGTTCGTATTTCTATCGACGCTAACGCGATATTCGATTATGAGACGTGTACTCGAGGACCGATTGGTCATCGATAATCTAGCTAATTTTGTAACAACGCCGAGAACACAGTGATCCTCCGATATAGCTCATCCGAAATCACCTTGTCGTTCATGGTCACTGAGTAGTAGTTCCCCACCACGTTGCTTGACACGCTCTCTGTCGCATGAGGTACCGGTGGGGCTTATAAATGATACTAAAGGTAAAGGTTTCATTGGTCGAGACTAGGCAGATTTAAAAGGAATCGGAGGATGAAAAATACGTTATTTTCCTATAACTAAATTTTCTTTTTCTCAATCAATTTACTAATCGTGATTCTAAAGGTTTATAAAAATCTTTATCATGCGGCATAGAGCGTGTCGAATTTGTGCTATTTGGTCTTTTGCATTAACACATATCAGTGATTGAAATTTCTGAAAGCCTACACCTCCTAATTGTACGTAGTATGGGGATGCTAACTGATGTTATGTTAACACGGAAAACACGCGTTAGCGAGTGTAATTAATTCTCTTAAGAATATATCGATCTCGGTATATTTAGAAAATACACCGATGGTACTAGTCCAACTACTCCGTCATCAATCTCTTGTCAAGAAACGCATGTCGAAGAACGTAGCGAGATTGTAAAAGAGCAGATTGCTTGTGATATTGCTCGGAAGCATCGCGTACACGATTCTCGACGACTAGGATTAATTTTGGATGAGCTATAATTCTTAAATCGACGAGATCAATTTCCAAACGGACGTCATTTGCACCCCCCCACCCCAATAAGATTCCACTAATGGATCGAAACAATTACTCGAATGACAACCGATGCTTCTCTCTGTTCGATCCTAGCCCAGCTTCCTCTAATTGCTCCATCATCGTTTCGTCGATAAGGCGCTCGGCTGTGTAAGTTTAACGAGTACCCAGTAAGAGAGAAAGAGAGACAGTACTCGAGTTAAAACGCAACTAACGGGGTTAAGTATAAGAAGAAAAGTGGGGGGTCGATGCATACGGAAAACCCGACTGGCGATCGACCGAGCTACAGGTTTTCCTCGCCTCACTTCCGGATATAATGCGTGTATATTAAATACCGAGTAAAAAGTAGTAATCTTCGATAAGCTACTCTCCAAGTACTTTGTACATCGAGTGAAAGTCGAATCCCATTAAATCACCATCTCATGGCGAAATGGTCTGAACGGATCGTCCTGTCAGGACTTCTTCCTTCTTTCATCTTTGTTCCTTTAAGATTGCTGAACCACTGACACCGTGGTGTCCGTTATGCCACCCTCGTCTCGGCATATACTGGAGGAAGTGGTTGTTTCCTCTGAAGTTGCAGGTGCAACGGTCAGCTGCCTTTGCTCCATATGATCGAGAGTCTTCTCGATGGCTCTCAATCTCTTTTCCAGACTCGTGGTGCCGAGAATTCCCACTTGCAACTGAGGCCCAAGCGGTAAGATCGCTAGCAACCACCAAGTCCACGATGGACCATCTGGTAACCGCGGCCAGTCCTCTTCTGTATCTGGCATTCGACCGAATACTCGCTGTATTTCTAATTGCTGGGACAACGGTACCGTGTCCCACCACCTTCTACCTTTTGTTCGCACCTGGAAACGTTCATTTTTGTTACACAGAGACAATCTATTATCGGTTGTTAGAAATTTATGATATAACTTAAGATAAAAATTTGAGGGAACAGGAAATAACATTTAAGTCATTCGTTAAATTATGGATGTCTTGCCTTGTCGTGTAGTTCTAAGAGATTCAACAGTTGATCGTCCTGAACCATGGTGTCTCTCAGGAATTCTACTTGTGCCGTATCATAACCATCCCTTTCTCCTCCAGAGAGAACCCTGAATCTCCTTCCACCGACCGTGCTGAGGATGCTGCAGCCATCTTTCAGCAGAACCCTGTCTCGAATATCGAGCATGGTACCGTATTCCGCGTATCTGAGACAGGAAAGAAATGTTGGTTCATGCGTTTCTTTATATATTTATATCTATAAACACACTGCATTGTACGCTATCGGTACAACGGTACAATAACATAATGTCATACAGGAAATATTAGCTATATAATAGATAAGCAACTTAAGTTAATTTATGAACCTATTATCCATTCCTGCCAACATCTGTCTACGATGAAATCGGTACACTGAAATAACATTAAACGATTCCACGTCTGCTAAGACTACGGGTACTGAATAAATATCGTACATTATAAAAGAAGAAGGAATAGGAAAGAAACGAAAGTATATTTACCTCTTCGTCCCTGTCGCTTCCCTGTTAAGACAGGCGGCGATACCAAACTGGCGAACGCCACTCTCCACGCATCTCCTCACCATCAGCCTGTATCTCGGCTCGTAGACGAACAGGGGACAGGCGACGCAGGGAAACGCCGTGGTGCAAACGAAAACCGCGATCTGCTCGCTGCCCAGGAGGCCAAGTCCCTGGACCAGTTCTAATCGGTGGCTGGCTGCCCTGGAGGCGTATTCCGCTGGGGCCACGGTCTTCAAAGCCCTCTCCACGAAGTCCGTCACCGTCTTCTGGCTGCTGGCCAAGTACTGCAAAAGCAAAGGACACTTTGCTAAGTCGACCAGAAGCTTCGTCGTCCTTCTCGAGAAACGCCTTCAACATCTCGCTGCCGAGATTCGTGACTTTTTCATGAGAATTTCTCGGCACCTTCCCTTTTCACCACAGCTTTCGAGGCCATCTGCCTCGAGGACTAGCATTAATAACGAATCGACTGTTTCAGAGGGTTGCGCGCAGACCCGCGTTCGGTTTTGAATTAGCCTATCTTCGGTGATGCAGGTATTAAACCCTGGATCCTTCGTGTTCCTTAGAGTTACTAAGTAGTCGAGATACCGGTCGTGCACCAGCGTCGACGTTAATGAACGGAGTCATCGATGTATAGAAATTGTCAACGGTACACGGTATGAAACGGTCTGAGACGTGGTACCGAACCAAACTTTGCGGTAGAACAATAGGGAACAGCGAACGGGCGGTAAACGGTAAATGAAACGATGTGAAGTTACGATAGTATGAATCATACTAATCAATGAGTAAATTAGAGTAATTAGGTGGCTCGCAGATATATGTACATAGAATCTCGTAACGGGTTTAAACGAATTGCGAGTTACAACGAATATCGTGTATTTGATAAATAATATTTGAAGGTATTTTAAAAGCATTTGAGAGGAAATGGGAATATTTTCTAATCTTCTAATTTTAAAGTTTATTCGATTGCAAATATAGTAGATGCGCTCAACGCTTATCGTTTACCGAAGAGCGCGGACTGATTATGCGAAAGGAAAGGAGGAGGAGGACTGACATGCGTTTAGCGATATGCAAAGGAAATGAGAAAGGCATAGGAAAGGGGAAAAAAGCAGGAACTACGCGAGAATAACGGTCGCGATGCGTTGTGTAATAGCGTAACGCAATACGAAAGGGGGAAGGGATCCGGGAAAGATACGGGATTGCGAGCCGCAAAATTTATTTAACGTCATTAACGACGATGCTCGCGGGGACAATTGGTAATGACGCCACGAACGCGGAAGCTCCTAACGGCGGCCATGGCGACCGCAAACAATAATCATTTCAATCTACGGCATCGTTAACCGCTAGGAAGCATTATATCTCATTTATGGACAGGTGTTCCACGGCCTCAGGTTCTCTTGTTCCACGGAATGTGCTTCTGGATTAACCTGTCGCCATGCGATTCTTTCTACCACTTACACGTACGTACTAAAATTATCCAATTTATACTTGAACGCCATAACGAGTAAAAACGGAAAATCGGTGAAGAATAATTTTCATTCCATTTAGATTGCATTTCACGATTCCTAATTTTACATATCGATTATACCGATTGTGAATTAAATTAATGAAACGAAAATTTACTTCGCACGTGTCGTTAACCCTGTCCACTTAGACGGATTTTTATTTTAAATTTAATACTGCCTATAATTTCATGAATTTCTTCTTCCTAAACTTTGACTTATTAACCAAATAATTATTAATCATTTGTAAAGGGGTAAGATTTATGTTAGTGGTAATATTGGAATTTCTAAACGGAACTCACATCGGCAAGAGACGTGACGCATAAGGGACAGGCCGAGGAGTAGTCCAAGCAGCGATCCAGACACATCCAACAATACGTATGCCCACATGGCGTCGTTACGGGTTTCCATAAGAGTCGACAGCACAGGATGCAATCCAACTCGCCGGCCGTGCCCCCGGAAAGGGGCGGAAGAAGGATCTCAGCGGGTCTCGGTTCTAGCCCTGTGAAACGTAACCCTCGGATTATCCACTATGCACCTATTCTTTCTTAACTGTCTTAGGTCTTAACCCTGACGTCCGTTCCTGATCATAATTCAAAATAAATATCGCGTTAGCACAAATGTCACGATTCTAAATATTTCTTTATCGCGCTTAAGGTATTTAAATTTTACGAGAATATTCTGTTTGAAAACCGTTTTAATTTACGAAGCAGAATTCGAGTAAGTCTGCTTCGGTTCCGATAATTATCCTCGACATTCGAAGGAAATACTTTGAACATCCAATTAGCGGAATTTACACAACGCGATCGAACTTTGGAGTAACTCTGAATTCACTCCAACGGCGGACGATGTCTCGTGGAAGTATAGACCTTCCAGCTAACATTTCTAACTTCGGATTTCCACGTCTTTGAAGCAACTTCCATTTTTCGGTTTAATAAAAATTTAATCGGGTCATTGGGATCGAGCGAGAAAGTAAG